TATATCTATGATTTACAATGTCATTTCATCCTTTTTTGCATTTAATCAATAGGTAGCTTTAATTAGCACCCATTTGTAAATAATAGTTTAAGGTTTAATCATTTCAAAATGTACAAGGATGTAGTTATTCTTACCTAGAAAATCGAAATTTGTCTTTTCCTTTTAGTATATTTCATAGACTAATCTCTGTCCTCATCACCTTGTACTTCCTTCATGTCAGCAGACATCCCTCCACTTCTGATCTTCTCTAACATTCTGTTTAATCATGTGAAAAAAAATCATGTCATCTAGCATTTTAAAGATATTTCTCTCTTACTCTGCTCGTGAGAAAATGAGAGAGATCATTTTGTGAGTGATATGGGACTACAGTCATATCTTGTAGTCATATTATTATTCCATTTCCTTTAAATACACTACTCTTGGGGCGCCTGGGTGGCGCAGTCGGTTAAGCGTCCGACTTCAGCCAGGTCACGATCTCGCGGTCCGTGAGTTCGAGCCCCGCGTCAGGCTCTGGGCTGATGGCTCAGAGCCTGGAGCCTGCTTCCGATTCTGTGACTCCCTCTCTCTCTGCCCCTCTCCCCTTCATGCTCTGTCTCTCTCTGTCCCAAAAATAAATAAACGTTGAAAAAATAAATAAATAAATACACTACTCTTACTATTTTCTAGTGTTCACTTTTGCTGACATATGTGAAAAAATAGGTCGTGTCTCTTAATGCCAACAAAATGTAATAACCTGCATGAAAATAAATAAAAGCATTTTGAAAATTTGTGAAGAATATTTGTGGACTGTTGGAAAGGTACTCACTTTTCATTTCATTTTATAAATATATTTTAGTTGTTATGAAATTTTTAAATCACGATGAACTAAAAGTCACAAAGAAAAACAATAAATTCTTCAATGTCTGGCCCCTCTTATGGAGTAGTTTCTCTAGAATTGATCATCTTTTGAAGTAATATGTTTATGCCACTATATCTTCACAGTTTTATACTTTAATCACTCCTTCATATGACAAAAGACGATTTCACTTCCTTCCTTTCCAACTAATACACATACAACATTGCATGTGCCCTTTCTCCTGTTCTCCCAATAGAGCTGTCATTTTTTTAGGTTAAACTAGTAGTTTTTATGTATATTGCAAAAATTACTTCAAAATATTCATTAGTGTAATGATTACATTTCTTTTCTTGAAAAACTTAATTCCTAGAGTTGATCCTTGTTTTTACTTGCATCATTTTCTATTTACTATTATTGATTTTTCACATTAAGTCTCATTTCAATAACAATAATTCTCTTAAATATAAAAAAATGCCAGATACCTATCAATTTATTTTAGATCTTTCACCCAGAACCTTTTGTATCTCTGATTCATTAACATTGGTTGTTCTTTTTTTTTTATTTTTAGTTTTTATTTAAATTCTGGTTAGTTAACATACAGAGTAAATATTAGTTTCAGATGTAAAATTTAATGATTCAGTGTTTGCATCCAACACCCAGTGCTCATTGGTACAAGTGCCCTTCTTAATCCTCATCACTTATTTCACCCATCCCCCACCCATCTCCCCTCTGGTAACCATTGGTTTGTTCTCTATAGTTAAGAGTTTGTTTTTTGGTTTTTTTCTCCTATGATCGTTTGTTTTCTTAAATTCCACTTACAAGTGAAATCATATGGTATTTGTCTTTCTCTGACTTATTTCGCTTAGCGTAATACTCTTTAGCTCCATCCATGTGGTTGCAAGTGACAAGATTCCACTCTTTTTATGGCTGAGTAATATTCCATTCCATATATACATACACACATACATCTTACTTTATCCATTCATCAGTCAGTGGACACTTGGGCTCTTTCCATAATTAAGCTATTGTTGATAATGCTGCCATAAATATGAGAGTGCATGTATCCCTTCAAATTAGTATTTGTGTATTCATTGGATAAATACCCACTAGTGCAATTGTTGGATTATAAGGTGGTTCTATTTTTAACTTTTTTAGAAACTTCCACACTGTTTTCTAGAGTGTCTGCACCAGTGTACATTCCCACCAACAGTGTAAGATGGTTCTCTTTTCCCTGTGTCTTCACCAACACCTGTTGTTTGTCTTGTTAATTTTAGCCATTCTGGCTGGTATGAGGTGATATTTCACAGTACTTTTGATTTATGTTTCCCCAATGATGAATGATGGTGAGCTTCTTTTCAGGTGTCTGTTGTCCATCTGAATGTCTTCTTTGGAAAAATGTCTATTCAGTCTTCTGCCCTTTTTTAAACTGTTTTTTAAACTGTTGAGTTGTATAAGTTCTTTATATATTTTGGATACTAACCCTTTATCAGATAGGTCATTTGCAAATATCTTCTCCCATCACTTAGGTTGCCTTTTAGTTTTGTTAATTTTTTCCAACATTGGTTGTTCTAATGGTTGTCGCCCTAGAACTTTTTCCTTTATTACTTTCTTGTGTTGGTCCCCTTTTACAGGATCCAATATATTCTTTTTTATTAGTGTATTCCTTACTTAACTAACACACATCTCTCACTAGTTTCATAAAAATGATTCAGAGGAGGTGAAAGTTTTTGAAAATTTGCTTAGTAAAGCACTCTTGTTTTTCTTTTGAGTGGTACTTTGGGTGTAAAATTCTAAGTTGAAAATAATTTTCCCTCACATTTTGAAAGCAGTGTTCTTTTTACTGATTGCAATTAGAGTTCCTGTTCAGAATACTGAGTCCCTTCTAATTCTGATCTCTTTTAATGTCACCACTAGTTTTTCATTCTGGAAGAATCGGAAACTTTTTTTCATATTCTGAAAATACTCTATTATCACTTATCTATTTATCTGGTCACAGGGGTGTACTCTATTAACATTTAAACTCTCACTTCCAGTTCTGAGAAATTTTCTTGTTATGCTTTTGATAATAAGTTCTCCCTTGAATTTTCTACATTCTCACTTTATCCAGAATTTCGTTAGTTAAATAGTGGATCTTCTAGATTGATACTCTAAGACACTAAATTTTTTCCTTATTTTCTCTGTCTGTTGCTCTACTTTTTTGGACAATTTATTTTATAATCCAACCTTTATATTTAAGTTTTTCTTTTTGGCTGACTATATTTTTAATAGCTCTTTTGGTTCTCTGAGTGTTTTGCATAGGATCCTTTTGTAGATATGTAAATGTATTATCTTCTCTCATCTATAATTAATTTATTCTTTTAAAATACATTATATACAAAATGCATTATGCAGTAGAAACCGTTACATCCATTATTAAAATGAGAGTGAGTTACAGGGAAGTTAAGAACTTATCCAAGGTTATATAGTTAGTAAGGGGGACTTAAGCCATAATCTATTCTCAATCTTATAGTAAGAACACATACTTCATGAAGTTACTGTTAATATTAAATGAATAAAAGCATATGTGTCACTTAGAACAATGGATGTCACAGAGCAAATTTTCAGTAAGTGTTAGCTCTTATGAGATTTTACTACTCTGGGGATATTAGACATTTTTAAAGACTTTCTTCTGTTTTCTCTATTATGTCTATTTCCTCTTGTTTTTGTTTTTGTTTTTGGAGATGGTGGTTTGACCTTGCTATGTCATGTCATAGGTATTTCTTCAAATTTCTTGTGGTCCTGGGCTATCTTTTCATTATTAAGAATGATATTCTCAGGGGCGCCTGGGTGGCTCAGTAGGTTAATCATCGAACTCTTCTTGATTTTGGCTCAGGTCATGATCTCACATGGTTCATGAGTTCAAGCCCCCCATCAGGCTCTGTGCTGACAGTGTGGAACCTGCTTGGGATTCTCTTTCTCCCCTCTCTCTTTGCCCCTACCCCATTTGTGCTCTTTCTATATCAAAACAAATAAACTTTAAAGAAGGATGATGCTCTCATATTTAAGAGTGATGAGAGGGGCTCCTGTGTCACTCAGATGGCTTAGCCTCTGACTCTCAATTTCGGCTTAGGTTATGATCTCACGGTTGTGGGACTGAGCCCATCCCAGCATCAGTGAAAGAGAGAAAGAGAGACAGAGAGACAAAGGAAGGAAGGAAGGAAGGAAGGAAGGAAGGAAGGAAGGAAGGAAGTTTGGATGGAAGGACGAAGAGATACCATCCTGTCAGCTCTTTGTGAGTGCGTGAGGCCTGTTGATGGTAGGACTTCACTCTAATGTAACCATGCTAGGATAAGACTATTATCTTGGGAGACCCTTCCAAATATTAGTATGTGTAAATGTTTTTTTATAAGATTTTTTAAATTTTTAAGTAATCTCCACATCTCATGTGGGACTTGAACTCACAGCCCAGAGACCAAGAGTTGTATGCTTTACTGACTGAGCCAGCTAGGCGCCCCATTATGTGTAAATCTTTATCTAAGCTTTTCATATTCTCCAGGTTAGAATTCTACAATATCTGCTGTGTGAAGGAAAGTTAGACAGGAGATCAGGTATATACCCTGTGTGCTACAATTGGAGAGTATTGCATGATAAGGGTGATCTGGAAATTTCATCATTCAGGATGCAAAGTTTTGCTTCACCTCCCTATTTTTAGTTTCACGCTTCAACTTTTACTCAGCTTTGCCTAAGGTCTCTGAAACTAGGGGTCATCCCATTTAATTTCTCCAAAGAAGTAACTTCCCATTCTCTGCCTCTGAGATACTTTCCTGTCTATATAGGCTGATGAAATGGTTGGACTATCCAACTTTCCTTTTTAGTTCTTAACTGACTTCAGCTTTCTTACACATGGTTCCTCTAAATCTTGTACCTAAATGGAATACTGTAGGACAAACCCACTAGTCTTGTATGAACATTTCCAATGCAGGCACTTAACATGTTTCTTAGAACTGCTAACTCAATTGCTCTTCTTTCAGCTTTCTGTCATCAAAATTTTGGGTGTTCACTTGTGCATTCTTAGTCTTTATGTGTTCATACCACTTTTCCTCTTTTCTGTCATTTTAGTTAGTATTTTATGGGTTTTATGTTTATTTATTTTTGAAAGAGAGTACAATTGGGGAAAGGGCAGGGGGGGGACAGGATCTGAAGCAGGCTCTGCACCGACAGCAGAGATTTGAGGCTCAAACTCACAGATATAGGATGCTCAACTGACTGAGCCACCAAGGAGCCCCTTAGTGAGTATTTTTAAAGGAGGGAGAATAACTAAGAGTAGTCAACCCACCTACTTTTCTATTTCTACCCTTGTAGTGGTCAATTTTTCAATAACGTATCTATCTTACATTTTTTAAATGTAATTTGAACTTAACATTTTTAGATGCAAATTTTTTAGATCCCTCCTTAATCCATTTTTGAGAGCATTTTTGAGATCATTGAATTTATAGCATCTATTCCAAACAATTTCCCTCCTTATGTAGCAACCTTTCACTTTGGCTAGGACTCAGACCACCCAAAGCTTCCGAGGTGGTCCCAGACAGTTAAAGCAAGGCCAAAGATGGGTTTCAGATTCTGAGACTAAAATCTCCACGTTATAATTCTCTGCCTCATGAAATAATGATTGCTTCAATAGCAGGTATACGATCTTAATTAGTCTAATCAGAGTAAAACTAAGTTTTGCTCTATGACTGGGAATGGGAATCTCTTGTGGGGCGGAAAATGAAAGCAGGTGACCATAGTTGTAGGTGGAATAAATCTTGTGAACCTAAGGGAAGGTGGCTTTAGGAGTAAGCCTGCTTTAAACAAAACTAGCATGTTTGTGTACTTATTAAATACTTTGGTAAATTATGAGAAGCTGGAACTAAATTATGACTTTACATAATGCATTCCACCCCAATATTTTACTTCATTTTCTCCCAGTTCACAGTTCACTGCTGTTAAGGAAATCTACAGAGATGCCTTCTTGTACTATAATAACTATCTATTTGTGTTCCATCTTACAGTTTATCCAATTTCATATCCTCTGAGAAGACTCTCAAAGTGACTCATGTATACTTTCCCTTTGCATTACAACCGAAAGAAGGCCAAGTAATGATTCAGTCTTCTTTCAGGTTTTCAGTCCTCTCAGAAATACTACAAACTTCTGGGGGCCAGGAATCACATCTTGTTTTTAAAACAATACTAACAACATCAGAAACGGTAAAGAGTATAAAACAATTCTTATGGAAGATAGAATATATTTTTAATCACTACACACAATGAGTAAAACAACATTTGTTTCTAAAGGGACATTTATATTAGTGGAATTTAGGTAGCTTTCATCTAACCGAAAATCTGTGGAGACGCATGGTGGCGCTGCAGGATAACATCGCGCCGGGGGAAAAGAAACTGAATTGGATGATGTCCTGGACCCTGTTACCCAGTGCGCACAGAGCGTTGGGAAGACAAAAAGAACACACCTTCAAAGGGCGAACTACAAGCTATTCAACGGGGTTAAAATCCTTAGGCCTCCGAAGATTCGACGGACATTATCAGAGGCACATTTCCCAGAACTGCGAAGGGTAGCTGAAGCGATTCTGCAGGAAGCTTTCAGGAAAGGAGCTATGGAGAACGGAAGAGCAGACACTCTGCAGATAAGGCAAGTCCTGCTTCTCTTTGTTTTGCTAGGAATATCTCAGGCGGGTTCCGAGTCCGGGCGCTTTTCTGTGGCAGAAGAAATGCAGAGTGGGAGCTTTGTAGGCAACTTGGCAAAGGACCTGGGAGTAGAAGTGGGTGAGCTGTTCTCAAGGGGGGCTCAGGTGGTCCCTAATGATAACAAAAACCGTTTGCAGCTGGACAAAAACACCGGGGATTTGCTCTTAAGCGAATCGCTAGACCGGGAGGAGCTCTGTGGCTCCACTGAGCCTTGTGTGCTGCATTTCCAGGTGTTAATGAAAAACCCTTTGCAGTTTTTACGCATTGAGCTCCAGGTCACGGACATAAATGACCACTCTCCCATATTCTTAGAAAAAGAAATGCTCCTAGAAATCCCAGAGAATAGTCCTGTTGGTGCTGTGTTCTTACTAGAAAGTGCGAAGGATTTAGATGTAGGAATCAATGCTCTGAAGAACTACATAATAAGCCCCAACTCTCATTTCCACATTAAAATGCGAGTCAATCCGGACAATAGGAAATACCCAGAATTGGTTCTGGACAAGGCACTGGATTATGAAGAGCAGTCGGAGCTCAGTTTCATCCTTACTGCTCTGGATGGTGGGTCTCCACCTAGGTCTGGGACTGCAACTGTCCGGGTGGTGGTTGTGGACACTAATGACAACTCTCCCGAGTTTGAGCAACCATTTTATGAGGTGAAGATTCCAGAGAATAGCATATTAGGCTCACTCATTGTCACCGTCTCAGCTTGGGATTTAGACTCAGGAAAAAATGGAGAAATATCATATTCTTTTTCCCATGCCTCAGAAGATATTCTCAAGACATTTGAAATTAATCAAAAGTCTGGAGAAGTCAGTTTAACAGCATCCATGGATTTTGAAACAATTGAATCATATTCAGTAATCATTCAAGCTACAGATGGGGGAGGTCTCTTTGGAAAATCAACAGTCAGAATTCAGGTGATGGATGTGAATGACAATGCTCCTGAAATAGCCATATCGTCAATTACCAGTCCAGTCCCAGAAAATTCGCCTGAGACTGTGGTTATGGTTTTTAGCATCCGAGACAGAGACTCTGGGGACAATGGGAGGATGATTTGTTCTATCCCAGAAGACCTCCCTTTCATGCTAAAATCTTCAGTTGAGAATTATTACACTTTGGAAACGGAGAAAATGCTGGATAGAGAGAGCCAGGCCGAGTACAACATCACCATCACCGTCA